TCGAATCATGACTATCCCCCAACGCTGAAGCAGGAGAAGCCGATCGACACCAGGAGTTGTTGGGCAAAAGTCAGCACTACTGTTTCACAGATACCAGTTGTTTTTACTGAAATTTATCTAGATTCTTCCTGACTCCTGGGCATGTCGACTGTTTGTCCTGACTGTGGTGATCGAGACCGCAGTGGATCTGGCCATAGAGGGCGACTTGTTTGTTCGATTGCAGGATGACTCAGGGAAACTGGCAGTGTATCTCAGCGTATTCGCACTTGCTCAGTATGTGTTTGAACATCTTTCGACGTCTTAATTTGACACAATTTTACAATTCAGCGTCTTCCAACTTGTCATGGCGGTCGATGCGGTGTATGCACGCAATACCCTGCAATTTTTATCTCTCATGTGAGCACATATCTTGCTTCTTGCCCGCTAGTAGCATATTTCTGACACTTGACTTACAGCATATTCAATCTTCTTTTCCTGTTATACGCTGTTATTGAAATCGGCGAAATCAAGAACTCGTCAACCACTTCTGCCGGGATTCTGCGTGTACCAGTGAATGTTCTCACTGACATCATACCTGCCGTCATATCCACTGCGGAGATAGCATACATCGGTCTCGGCTGGAAAATCTATAACGAGTTTGGCTGGAAGGTGTACAAGTTTCTGGGTGCCGACCGCCGCATCAAGAAAATGTATGCCACACATCAGATCTTCGAATGTCTTGTCAAATTCGACATCTTCTTTTGGGTCGGCTTCTCTGTGCAGTTCATATGGTTGGTTCTCCAGAAGAACGATTGGGAGTACTACGTCACATGGGCTGCTCTCCCGTTATCAATTCTCCTCCTCATCGAAGGCCACCTTGCTGCGCGTCACGAGAATAAGTGGATGATGGGAACGTTTATGTTTGGAAGTATGGGCGCCCTGGTCTATTTCACATACAAAGTGAGCTCTTTAGCAAAGTTGCTGCGCAGAGCTCGTTTGCTCATGACGTTTCAGCTTTTCCGGGTTCTTCAGTACAGGGATACGCAATATGCCTTGTACTGGAAATCACTTTCCACGTTTTGTAAGTCCTTTTATATATATATTTTCCGGCAGCTTACGATAATGGTAGCTGCAATCGCAATCGTCCTTCTCGTCATCACGATCATCTTTTCCGTGTTGGTGATGCGTAATTTCGGTCGAGGACTAAAGGCATCTAGTTAGTATTTTTTGTCCTCCATGATTTCTTTGATTGATGCTCTGTGACAGTTGCAAGAAGTAAAACCCACACGCAGGGACGTGGCTCTCAACACTTGAATCGAGGACCGATGAGCATGAACCCAAACCGGATGAGTATCGAATGAAAGCGCGCGTGCGTCACAGCTACGGACTTGCTTGTATTTTATAGCGCTATTTGCCATTCTTTCGATTTGACACACCAACCTCACCTTGCCCCAACCAAGATCACATTTGCATTGATATATCCATCTTCGCATTGCCATGTTTCGCGTTCTATAATTTCTTGATTTATAGGTATAAGTATTTACAGATATATTTGCACGCATGCCAGTAACACGCATCGCTCTCCAATCTGGATCTGGAGGCTTTGTGTTTTCTGGTATTCGTTTCTTTACCCTCCCTCGGAGTTGCCTGTGCTTTGTGGATATTTTCATGTATCGATGATATTATATTAGATAGATACGGATTTTTATACCACAAGCTAAACGAATTTGGTTGTGACGTGGAAGGGTGGTGTACTTCACAACTTTTGTCTGCAATTGTATCCGCGTACACATCGCCGCCTTCAGCCTTCTCGGCTGTGTTGAGTCAAAGGGCTTTTTAATAATATTGTCATTCCCTTTCGAATTCACCCGTTGGTCGGGAAGTGTGGAGCTGCGGCTGGTCTTATACCCACCACTATATGTCCCAAAGGTGAGGCACTCCTGGGAGTTACTTTGCACTGTTCATTAATTGATGCTTCAGATACAGAGCAACGAGTGCAGCGCTACGGGATCGTTCAGCTCTCCTGGGTGTGACACCTCCAGCTTCGGGACGCTCGTCACCGTATAGCAGCCCGAACCCAGAACCTTCTGGCCACCGCTACGTGGATGACCTGGAAGGTCAGAATGACGAGGCGTTGGAAGGCTTGGCGGCCAAGGTGAAGTTGCTCAAGGACGTAAGTGGTGCTTTCCGTCTCGCCCACCCATCATACTCATTATTTTCATACAAAGATCACTGTTGGCATTGGAAACGAAGTCAGAGAATCGACTGTGCAACTTAGTCAGATGGTACGCGCATGCTGTCGCTCTACTGCATCAGCGGCTCCCTACTTATCATGTGCTCCGCAGAATGATGCATTCGCGGAAACCTCGGGCATCCTAGCTGGTACGTTCCGTCGGATGAACAATATGGCACAGCGGCAGGGTTGTCGTTGGCTATGGTACATCCTATTTCTCGTACTTGTGTTCTGGTTCTTCATCATTGTATGGTGGTTTCGGCGATAACAATCACCCACTACGGACATTTATTGGTATCTTTGGATCAATTGCTTCCTCAGTGCGCCTCTCTCATCATCTAAGTCACGCCATTTCCGTACCCACAGTAAATGCCAATACAGAGTATCATAAAACCATGTAAAAAGAGCAATGTGTGGAGGCCCATTTCATGGGCCGTCCAGGAACTTGGCATGGCCAATTTCCCAAATCATCCGCCGTCGCAAGTAAGACATGTCCCGTTGCGAGAAATGGAATTCTTCCTCCCCTCTAGACAAGGATTCCAAGAACTGGCACGTGAACACGCCACAATCATAACCATTCTCCTGTTGTGGTGTGTCCTCAGGATTGTGATTGTGCCACCCAGTGAAGTCAAAAGGTTTCTTTCGCTTGTTTCTATGTTCCGAGTCCAGATAACTCCGCAAGGCCTTGAGGATAACATAAGGACCTTCCTGCGCATGCCAAGGCAAGTTAACGTACCTTGAAGACTTGATGTCGGTCAAGATTCATGCTGTCATACGACTCTATCCGCTTTCGACGGAAGTTGATGGCAGCCCCGGTCCAATGAGAATTGTTGTGGTTGATAGGAATAAGGATGACGTCTTTCGAAAAAATATCAATCTGTATGTGGAATGAGACATCATCTTCAATTGCACTGGGCAGTAACGGACCTTCTTTGTCCATTTCGCTAGCCGCCCCTGCTCATAGCCCTCGTTTTTTAACTTTGGCCAAAAGAAGGTGCTGAAATAGTGGACATCCAGCGTCTTTCTCTTTGCGTTGGGGTCGCGCTTGGACTCCGAGCGCGTTAAGATCATCGCACCATAAAAGTTCATAATTTCGTCGTTCAACCACTGACTGGGCAGTAACCGAGATAGATCGCGATCATTAACAGATTCTCGAGCAACCTTGGAAATGACTCCTTTCTTGCACAAGAGCGCGTTGACTTGTGTGTCAGCGTCAGGAGGTAGAGCCTTCGGTAGCTTTGGCCGCAGACGCTTCTCAATGGCTTCGTCTCTGTGGCGTGCCGATAAGCGGAGACGATCATGTGAGGGAGAGAACGGTTTAGGAGGCGGACTGGAAAATCGATTCAGTGAGAAAAAAACATGCAAAAGATACGCTCATACAGCTCAAATGACTTCCTGGCCTTTCTAAGTGCACGTTCTAGGAAGTCGGGATCAACATCCTGGCACAATTTAGCACAGTAGCAAACAAAGCATGCACACGCTCACATCTGAGAACGAGTGCCTACGAGAGTGCCCAGGTGAGGACTTCACGCGCAGATCTGTCAGTGATGGTGAAGCTACACATAATGTCGTAAGTGTGCTAAGCCGAAGTAATAAGAATCACGTACGCGAAAGCGCATGTCGTTCAAGAATTTCAAGTCGGGCTTGGTAATTAATCAAAGCTGAGATTTATGCAAATTAGATGTAGACATGGACAAGACAGAATTGGCTCACATTTAAAAGAATCAAAATCTGAGGTATATCCTAATCAGAGTGAGAGATAGAGCACCAAGAAAAGTACTAGTGTGCTGACCAGTAGAACGTTTATAATGGAAGAGATCTTGCACCAGCTCTTCGCGGTCCTTTTTCCTATCTTCTTGTACTTTGGCTCTGTGCTACAACATCGGTCGATAGTAAGATATAGGAACCGGTTAGCATTGCGTATACACTTACAACATGAGCGTATATATGATCTCGACTCCGCCGAGGGCGAATGCCACCTACCACTCCTCGTCCGTGCGCGGAACTTCCTATGAAGTCATACGACTGGCTGTTTTGAACGTATCCCTTCGATGTCGAGGGAACCGGGGTGACCGAGGTATGTCCGGTGAGGGTTGAGGGAGGTGAGTTTCCGTTTCCATTGAGTGCATTCGAAGATTCTGAATGCGATTGTAAAGAAGATGAAAGCCGCGAGCGGCCTGCCACTGGTTGTGAGTCTTTATGGAACTCTTCCGGTATAGGCAGACGAGGTGGCAAAGCTGAGTAGGTAGCTTGCGAGGGTAAAGAGCCGGTTTGATTAGGTTTTTCCGGCTGTTGTGTCGCGACTTGAGATACACCTAGTTTTTGAGAGGTTTTGAACACGTTGTCAGTGAACGATCGTGTCTGGCAATAGAACTAATCTCACAGTTCATGAGGGACAGGCATCCGAGGCGGACCGTTTCGTAGCTAAGTGTGAAAGTGTCAGTTCCGAGTTGACGCCAACGATTCCAAATGCCCTGGTTCTCTTCTGTGCGTTGGTATTTAGCAGAACGCATTGGGAGGAGAGGATCTGGGGCCTGTCTCTTCCGACTGGTCATCCGAGCAAATGCCAAGGATGGAAGGGAGATATTTTGAAAGACTTGCGGCACGGAGCCAGCTCGAGGCTGAACTCAATGAATGGTCGCGAGGACAGACTCGTCAAAGCAACGTGTTCTTCACGGTGGTTATGTGCAATCACGATCAAGACTAAGTTGTAAAGTCTTGTCAAGTACTAGCGTCAAAACACAACAAGACGCTTGATTATATAATCAAATTCTAATTTTAATCACAGGCTCGCTTGGCTCAGTTGGTTAGAGCGCAGGTCTCATACATGTGTCGTATGACGAGTGTATACTCGGTAATCCTGAGGTCGCAAGTTCGAGCCTTGCAGCGAGCACTGCCTTTTTGATATTCGTTGCTGCCAAGGCTCACGCACGCGTGACGTGGACGTGCAGATTCGGAAATCAGGCTCGTCCAGCTCTAATAGGCTCTAATTTAGACTCTAAATATCAGGTTATTTCTTCGTAAGTCACAGTCTTCCTCCTGATCTTAATGCTTTCTTCACAAAACAGACATTGAGGTGCGAGAACGTACAGCCTTCTCCTCCTATCCAATCTTCTGAGCCATCGGCATCAGAATGTTGACATGTATGACCCTAGTATAACTTCCGTCTCCTTTACAAATTTACTGGACGCAGCAAGTCCTCGCGTAGGGGTATAAAGATCAATATCGCTGGTGTTTCTGATCATTCCACTCAAGGTTTTCTCCTCTGCATAACCTCGTGCAATGCCCTCCAGGGCAAGATGAGCTCACCAGACTCCATTGGTTCCCAGTAGTAGGAAGGGACTTATGTTTTTTTTGCAAGGTGGGTGTACTTGTTTGTTGGTTGTAGATTCTAATGCCTAGGTGTTGGCAGCCTATCATGCGCCGTTTCCCATGAACGAAGTTGTGAAATAGTCCCTAAATCACGCATTGCTGGGCGGTGCGTCCTCAGTTTCCAACTGTCTCTCTAGACACTAGAATGGAACGTGCAAAGGGCCGACCAATCGCGTCAGGGGAAATCTCTAGGTCGGGGGGCTCAGTTCTTCTGGCTGTTTTCGTCACTGCTATCTCTTATATTTTTTAAAAAAAATCCATTTTATTGTCCTTTGGGGTCGAAGACCCTATGTCGGACATAACCCTATACACGGGGACCTTACTCCCGCTACACTATCGTACTTTTTATGTGTTTTCGACTGCTTTCAGCGCAACGTGAGTAGTCAAGAATCGTTAGAACTTCTCTCACAAACTGTCTTTTTGAGTTTCACACTTGGTGTCGTTGGGCTCCCTGCGGGCGGTGATCGTAAGTATCCGCTGATGAAGTGCCGGATATATCGGCCTTCCCTGTTCCTCTGTACAGCTTTTTTATGCGGAAGTTGCCTATCTTATCTGGTTCCAAGGCTTTGCTTATAGCTGGGCCATTTACTTGGGTTGCAACGACGGGTCCTGACCATCGCAATTACGTCGTCCTGGCAAGTGTGGAGAGGGCGATTTGTTATGAGTCACCGACTGTACATGCCTTCATGATGCCATGTCAAGTGACTCACCTAGAACGTTTCGCACCAGGAGGCGTGCGCTGATTATATCGCCTTAGGACAGGAAGGACGATAAAATGGCGGGAGTCAAGTCCATGGCAGTCAGTCTGAGCAAAGGCGTCCCGCATTGAGTTCATTCGACTTGGCTTTTTTTTAGGTGCGTTTCGGCCAGCGCCTCGTCAATTATGATAAGTATCATAATATTGCATCGTTCATCCTCCGTCTCTGACACACATGGTCCTTTGACTAGCATGATCCAAAAGACAGCCGGGTGACATTCATAGTGCCATAGCCGCATGTGCTAAATCTCATACTTCAGGCGGGTCGCCAGGGCGTGGGGATGGTTTGCTGCATTGTTTGCGAACCACTACTTCAAAAACTTCAATTTGTGTCCCTCGCCGCTTGACCATACGTATGAAGGCCCTGTTATCAGATATCCGGAGAAATTTACGATGTACTGGCACAGCAAAAATTGAAAAAAACCTCTTTACTGTAATGAATCAATGTATGAAGCGTGTACGCGTGAACATTGGAGGCGGTTGCAGTAGTGTCAGTCTAGTACTATTGCCTCCGATACTAGGTCTCGTAATCCCTTTCCATTGAAACTTGATGTTTCTTACCACTTTCAAGGCCTAACACACCGGTGAGACACTCTTGAACTCTGTTAAATACTTGTTTGTACTGAGCTTGCATTTTTTTCGTCTCTTTTGCTCCAACCCTCTTCGAGTTTGCGCCACCACCTCCTCGATCTCGGAAACCTGGGTGTTGGCCCGGATATCAGCAACCACCAAAATGCAAAATGAGATAATCGAGCTCAGTGATTCGGACACTGATGCTAGTAGCAAAAGTCTTCGCCCAGTGAAGAAGCAGTTCACAGAAATATCTCACCCCAATTCCAAGGTAGCTAGTACCCTCAAGGCAAAGTTAACAGCCCAAAGAAAGCTTGTCGCGGAACAGGGCAAGGAGTTGACTAAACTCCGCAAGGAGAACAAGCAGTTCAAGAACGAACGAGACATTCAAACTGCCGAAATCACAGGTCTTCAAGACGAGTTGAAGAATATCTTGCGGCAGCTCGATGACGAAACAGTTCGTGTATAGCAGGCTACTCGCTCAAATAGTACTTACATCATGTCTTCAAAAGGTCAAAAATCTCACTTTCAATATGATTAAGTTGAATAGCTTGAAATCGGATGCTGTAAGCGAGCATTTTTCATTTTGGTTTTGATACTGAATTTTGCGGGCAGCCAAATGGGACTGCTGTCGATGCTAAGTGGCATCAGGATATTGACCAAGACATGTCTGACAGCTTTGCATCCAACCTTCCCATACCCGAAAACGGCCCTCCAAATACAGCCTCCTCGCCGCGGCAGCCTCAAACCCCCAACGCTTCTGGATCTGGTTTTACTGCCATCAAACCAGAGCCGGAAGGAGCGAAGATTGCAGTTGTTATCCAGTCCGAGCTTGAACATGAACCTGATCTGAACGTCCATGTTACGTTTGTCAAGAGCGAGGATGGGAAGTTCGACATCTGGAATCTTGAGCACCTTCGTCTCGGACCTCCAGTTATCGTAGAGAAGAGGTTTCACGTTGGATTCAGGCGTTGTATAATCAGTAACGTGAGTTCAGAGTCCCCCGTTGATCAAATTTGGTTAACACCTAATATTACTTCAGGCTCTTGGTGGAAATTGGCAAAGTACATTCGTCAATTGGCAAGGTCCGACTGGCAAATCGAATAGGTACCCCTAGTGCGTATCCCGAGTCTATCTAACTTACCGCTATTAAAGCGAGTATCACAGCATGGCCCTCAAACGATCCTGGAATCCACATCTCCCGCTCGTTCCGGGAGAGCACGGTGTGGTATTTAGTAGGGTGAGGCGTTTCGACGATGACACGCTCATTACTGGCTCAGTCGACGTTGTCATATCCGGCAAACCAAATGAATGGTGTATTTTGGTTCTTACGAGACCTTTCGGTCAGGTGAGATCACACCTCACCAACTACACCTACTCCCTCCTCTGGTTGTGCGAACTCGGGTGGAGGGAACTCTGAAGTCCCAATGGGGAAAGAACTGGGTAGAACGTACGAATGCCGAGCTTGTAGACAAGGGAGGTGAAATTCGCCTGGTCGAGCATACGGCACACGGTCTTCGGGAGGCACTCAGTGATGGAAGACTCGTGATCGGTTTCACCGTCATGAAATGTGTTGGATTTCGTACGGAGTGGTTTGACCAGTTCTTGCATTACCAAGCGCATCCGAAGCTGCCGACGACACAGAAAAGGAAGAAAGGGAACTCGGGAGCCAAAAAACCCTCTGCAAAAAGGGTGAAAGGGGGCACGCGCCGGAAAGAGGTGTCATCAGAAAGTGACAGTGACGAGGAATTGCAAGTCACGCCGCTCGGTAGTGACGAAGACGAGTTTTCTGACGCAGAGGATGGGATGTAATCATGTTTGGGTTCAGCCTCGTCGGGCGTGAGGAAGAGTGCTCGCATTTTCGCAAAATCAGTTGGAGCAGCAACTCCAAGTACTTTCTAGTCATCGGACCGTGTTGTCTCTAACTTGAGAAGTCTGCGACTACTCGAGGTTGATCGATACTTTGTTCACGGCAAACTCTCGGGATTGATACATTCACTATATAGTCGAATACTTACCTTGTAATACTTATACATATGCCACACTCAAAGAGCTATTACGACCAACCAGGCCCCACGTTGGCAGAAAGGTGGAGTGGAAGTAACTGTGACCGAGTGTGGATCCTCCCGAGCAAGGAAACCTGGGACGTCAACAAAAGTCCAGCTGATCACCGTGGCATAATCATGCTCCCCTCTGTCATAGCAGACGAGTGATAACACCGAGTCCCTGGATGTGTCTCAAGTCAGAAGTGCAGCTTTGAGTACAGAGCAGTCATCAACAACCTTGACGGACTCGGTTGTGAGATAACCTCGAACCGAACGGTGGCTCGATCACCAATCCGCAGGAGGATTGTCCATCGATATGATACGAACAGTATGGCGGACCATCAGGACCGGTGAGAACTGCGGTAGAGTCATCAGGAGACCTTACCCACTCCGCAGTGAAGTATTAAGACTGCAAATTTTGCTCAAATGATTACATCGCGCGAGCGATATCCTTGAGCTCACTATAATACAAGGACCTGTCGTTCAAATGGGGCGGGAGGTTGCTGCGGTGTCCTAGTGAGCTATCGCAAAAATAAAGGTGTAAGGTTTTGGAACGTGATGATCAGTTTTGGACACGCCAACCATACCCTTTTTGAAGGCCGCGCGTTTCGCTCATCTAAAAACAAAAACAACAGATTAACAAGCCCCAACCGTCACGACATCAGACTTGTAAAGGTAAGCATCCATAAGAAATGCAAACCAGGAAGTCGAATACCGTTTTCGCCGCATGCTCTTCAGAAACAGTTGACTGAAAACTCCACTGGAGTCTGATCCAAGAAGACGGAGTCACTCACCTTGACACTTCCAGTACCGAGAATGTCATTGACAGCTGTCACCAACGTATGGGACAGACCAGACTCATCAGTGACCGAATATAGTGACTGCCGCGGCCAAAGGATATCAGTTGCACGCTTATTTGGGTGCCAAGGGCCCGTACTACCTCCAGTAGCTGATAAATCGTGAATGAGTATCAGTGTCCGCGTCACTGGAGGTTTAGTTTAGGCACAAATGATGGGTCTGCGTCCTTGAGCCATAATTGCATAAGTGAGTTGTTGAGTGTTCAAGCGTCCGAGCGGCACCGCCACTATGTACATGATTAGGATGGTCACGTGGCATTCGGCGGGTTTTAGAAGCTCGTCAAGCGAGAGG